CAGCTGATACGCCAGCTGCACCCTTTCCTGGAAGTTAAGGACCTTGATACTGTGGTGCATGCTGTGCTAACCTCCCGTCTTGATTTCTGTAATGCGCTCTACAGGGGGCTACCCTCACGCTTGGTCCAGAAACTTCAATTAGTACAGAATATGGCAGCCAGGCTGGTATCGGGAACATCAGGAAGAGACCATATATGGTCAGTCTTAAAATCTCTTCACTGCCTGCCTATTAGTTTTTGGGCACAGTACAAGTTGTTGGTTATCACCTTTAAAGCCCTAAATGACTTGGGTCCAACCTATCTTTGGGACTGCCTCCTCCCGCATAATCCACCCCACACACTCAGGTCCTCTGAGAGGAATTTGCTGCACCCTATAAAAACTAGGCTGTCTGCAACCACCCAGAAAGTCTTAAATCTGCAGCCTATAAAAACTAGGCCTTCTCTGCAACCGCTCCCAGATTATGAAATGGCCTGCCAGATGAGATCCATCATATCACCAACTTAACCAGCTTTAAAAAGGGTGTTAAGACGGATATTTTCTGGCAGGCCTTTCCCGAATAGACATCCCAGCCTCAGGAGTCAGCCCATCTCCTTCCCACAATCTTTGCTCTAGTTATTGTCCTTATTGTTTGTATTGTTTGTATTGTTGTGTTATTGTGATGCATTCTTTTAGTATGTTGTAATAGTTTAATTGTTTAATACTATTTTAAGGGGTGGATGAGTTCTTGGGATTTATATTGTATTTTTATTATTATTATATTTTTAATGCTGTTAGCCACCCCGGTTGCGTTTGAAGAGGGGCGGGATAAAAATAATAATAATAATAATAATAATAATAATAATAATAATAATAATAATAATAATAATAATAATAATAATAATAATAATAATCTGACCATTACTCAGTTATAGTTGGCTTCAGCATGTCCTTCTGTTTGTTCTTCATATATAATCTTCTACACTCTCTAGCATAGAAATTGCAAGGTCATCCACTGCAAATCATGGCATGGACATGTTCATTGAGGACACAGATCTTTTCCATTCAATAACATCATTAGAACACAGGCATTATAGTCACAAAGCCAATATGGTGTAGTGGTTTGAATGTTGGCATACAACTCTGGGAGACCAGGTTCAGATATCCACTAAGCCATGGAAATCCACTGGATCAGCTTGTCACTCTCTCTCAGCCTTAGAGGAAGGCAACTGTAAACTTCCCTTGAATAAATCTCACCAAGAAACCCCTACAATAAGGTTGCTGTAACTCAGAATCAACTTGAAGGCACAAAACAACAACAAAGTTATCTTCACAGCAATAAATAAAAGAGATTCTCATCATGCTCTTCTTATAACCAAGAAATATAATATATGTTGTCAGGATCCACTGGGTATCTCCCATTTGGACAGGAGCATGTTTGGTCAGAAGACCTATAAGATAATATCCTACATTAAATAATGTAATAAATAGTCCTTGTGGGTTGTTGTTTCTTTTCCAAACTGAAGCCATAAAATGATTGTTTAGGTGAAAAATGAACATGATTAGGAATGAAAAATGATTGGGAATGATAAATTACGCTCTTGAAATACAGCGCAATTTTGGAGCAGGAACTTCTATAAAATACACTTCACAGAATGTATCAAATTAGGAATAAAAAGCAAGTGAATGCAGGGGAATACAAAGCTACACAAAGCAAGGTTGAATAATCTGTAAAACTAGTTCAAAGTTTAATTTGAGTATGCCAGTTTCCATGATTCAGTTCTTTAGTCTTCATAATAAGGTTAAAATTACTTCAGTGTCAGTAAAATCCTGATTTATTAAATATAACGTCTATGTATTCACAAACCTTACATGGCACATACCAATTCATTTCCAATAAGTCGTTAGTTTGCTCATTTAATAGTGATAAAATACATAAAATGGTGTCACACAAACAGGTTCCATTTATACTTTTAAATCTCTTTACTGGCCATTGGAAAACTGGCCACAAATACATGCATCCAATGCTTTAAAAGAAAAGGCAAACATCCTAGTCTGGTTAAGATGATGTGAGTCTTGTTCTGTTTTTGGCTACTGTATCTGTAAATGCATAAAAGTTTCAGAATTCATAAATATTTCAAAGAAGAAGCTGTACACTTTAGTGCTCATGTAGGCCAAGTAAGTGATGTATACATAATTATAGCCAAAGCCAAAAATAAAAAGAAATGTTTTTCTGTAGCACCGAGTTATACTCACATACTTCCCAATATCAGTTTCTTTACTGAGGTTTCTCATAAGCCCAAATATAGTTCCTCACATCATTGACTAGATTCCAGCTCTGTACCTAAGTCTTGCCAACTGCAAGATGCTTTGTCTTGCAGTTGCCAGCTGCCATTGAACTTTTGATACATAAAAACTTTGAATCATAGAAAACCATCTTGGTATTGCAAGTAAGTAATCAAAGCATTATTCTTTTTCTTTATCAGTAATGCACTTAAGGCTTGATCAGTGGGCACAGGCCTGACTACCTTCCACAAATTGTCTTTCTCTCCCCCTGCCACCACTTACAGAGAGTGGCCAGTATTGTGCATCAAAACTTAGTTTACCTCTCCTGGCCCAACCTTACTGAACCTGATGGAAACATTATTAACCCATGCTTCAATCACTGGCAGAATGGACCTCTTTCCCCGATACAGCTGATAGCCAGTAAATTAGGCTGAGAAAGAATTACGATCATGGCAATAGTATCACAATCATGACAAGTAACTCTTGTGAATATGGAACTGTTTATGATCTGTTCTATACTCAAAACTTCTACTTAGTCACAAGTGTGACACTATTGCCACACTGTTAGTCACACTATTGCCACACTGATAGTCACACTATTGCCACTTAAGTCGTTTTCAAAGAAGTAGCCATGTTAGTCTCTTGTAGCATAAAAGGGAATGTAAAAGAGAGGATGAGAAGAGGAGCAGCACCTTTAAGACTTTCTGGTTTTTATTTTTGCATTAGCTTTAGTGGATATAAACCCATTTCTTTGGGTGCAGTACAGAGTGCTCAGGTATAAAGCATATTAACACAGATGTGGGAGTGGGAAGGAAAGTAATAGGATCCAAAAGGATAGAAATCATAACCCATGTCCTAAAAAAATTCAAAGGCCTGCAAAAGTGATATAGGTCATTCAGATCTTTATATTGGTCAGTTAGTGTTGATGTGTGAAAGCAATAAATCACTTATCAAAACTCAGTGTACCATGAAATCATTGTCTTCATTCATAACCTCTGTTAATGGATTTGCATTTGTGAATATAATTCAGTTCATCTGTTTCTCATTCTAGGCTTCATTTGTAATTTCCTTATTCAAGGACACAACCAATAAATCCCATACTGTATGTCCAGGAAGATTGAAATGTTCTGCAACTGGTTTTTGGGTATTGCCATTTTATATGTCTGATCTGTGACTATTTCTCTTCTTATATAGAGACTATTCTCTTTGTCCAATGTAGAGTGTAGCATTGTCATTTAGGTAAACTTAACTATGGGCTTATACAGACCAACCAAAAGGGCCGGCCTAGGGGTGGAGTTGGGGAGGGATGACTGCACACTGGCCTCCCTGACACATCCCTGATGCTGCATGTCCCACCACATGGTGTACAATGTCAGGGCACTCCCTTGGTGCAGCTTTTTGACATGCTGCACCAAAGGAGTGCAGAAGACCTGTGACAGAGGCAGTTAGAGCAGCTTTTTGCTGCTCCAAAAAGGAGTGGCATTTGCCAGCAATTTTTGGAGCAGCAAACTGCTAGATTGGGACCGCAGTGTGTGGTTGCTGCGGCCCCAATCTGGCACTCCCAAGGGCAGCATGGAGCTGCCCCTTCGGGGCTGTCTGTATGGCCTCTATGTATACTAAGTATATTTCAATATATTCGGCTAAGCAGCTGATAAAAACACTGGCCAGTGTGGCCTTGTGCCCTATTAACAGAGGAGAGTCCTCTGCTTGATGGCATCCTCTTTTGGATGGATTGTGCAGTTCAAAGTTGATAAAGAACCATAACAGGAAGCAAGTTGCCCATTCACAGTTGGTATCTGCAAGATAGAACAGGAACCCTGTTTGCTATCATCACGCCCTGGTCATAATTATCCATCGTGTAAAGAAGGAGCAGCATGCTACAAAGCATAGTTTGAAGGTTAGAGTATACAAACAAAGAGACGTTTAAATCTAAGAATGTTTTCCAGGGGTGATCTGGAATAGTTCCAGACAATTCATTTCTAACTCCTCAATAAAGAGAGGTATTACTCAATGGGTTGTTACTCCACTGGTGGGTTCAGTTGAATACCACTGACACCAATCCCTTGGAAAGAAATGTAGTCATTCCCATCATTTCAGTTAAAGAGAAAATTATTATAGAAAATAAAGGGCTTCCATAGGCAGGAGAGATTGCCAAATTATGAGCCACTACACAATACTAGCACTGTGACTCTACTTTAGCTGCCATGACTCCATGCTACATAATTCTGGGATCTGTTAAGGATATTTTGACATTTCAACGAGAGAGCTCTAGTGGCTCATCAAACTAGAAATCCCAGGACTCCATAGGATACAGCCATGGATGTTAAATAAGATCATAGTGTTATAACTGCATAACATAAAAGGGCCCATAGACACTGGCAACCATCTAATTAGACAAAAAATACACCTGTAATGACGGAACATATAGTGAACATACTGCTCTTTGTGAGATTTTGGGGGGTTGCAGACTGTCAAAAATAGTGTGAATTCAGTCCACTTTTAGGGTTAGGGTTAGTGCTAGGGAATCATGGGAATTGTTATTTTTCTGAGACATTGAACCTTCTTTGTCAGAGAACTCTAGTGCTACAATAAAATTAAGTTCCCATGATTCCCTAACCTTAACCCTAACCCTAAAAGTGGACTGAATTCACACTATTTTTGACAGTCTGCAACCCCAGTTTGTTTACTATCATCACCACCAATAAAAATCTTTTCAATCTTTATATACAAGTTTAACAGCAAGCATGGTGTAGTGGTTTCAGCACTGGACTATAACTCTGTAAATCAGGGTTCAATTCCCTGCTTGGCCATGGAAACCCACCACTATATACTCTCAGCCCCAGAAAGCCCCATGATAGGTTTGCTTTAGTCAGAAACAACTTGAAAGGCATACAACAACAACAACAACATAAGGTTTTGACCAGCTTGGAAGTAACTACTTCAAACTAGTTAACTTGCAATTAAATCCTTTTTCCAAAAACATTATGAGTAATTTAATGAGGAATAACAAGTCACTCCTTTATAGCAGAAAAATAACTTTTTAGTTAGTTTTATAGTTATGAAGATATGATTGTGGAAAGAAGGTAGAGTTGGGCCAGCTGAGTGAGCTGGTGACAGCCAATAGAATTGTGGTCTGTAGGTGATAACGAATTCTGTTGCTGACAGTGGAGTCAGTCTGAGTCTGGCTCTGTAACAGTCCAGGAGTGAGGGACTTACTGGTAGTTTAAATACAGAACTCCAAGGGGGAGGGTTTCTGAGCCTGAGGGCTACTGTAGAAATAAGGTTGGAAAGACCACAGTAAATAAGGACAGTGTGAGGATCCTAAAAGAAAATATCTGGTGTTTTCTAAAGTTAAAGAGTGTCTAACAAAGTATAACAAGAACGAGAGAATGCAACATCATAACAATGAAATATTATTAACCTTATTAACACTGGGATATATCCTAGGTGGCTAGCACAGGAAGACATTGGGGAAGATAACCAAAGTTCAGGACTGTGTGGGAGTCCTAAGTGAGAGTAACTGGTATTCTTTAGATAGAGAGTTGTGTAACAAATTGTAACAAGAACAAGTGTATATATTATATCAACTGAAACATTGTTAACCATCATTCAAATAAGGTTTTATTGTTATTTAATTACAAGCTTGTCTAAACCTGGGTTGAATTTCCACTAAGTTTGGAAGCAAATCATTAGTTAAACATAAAAGTGGTCTGGTACATCACAAATTGGTGACAGTGGGAACAGGTGCCATCATCCAAGAAGGAAGGTTTAAAAGATAAACATATAAATAAGCAGTTTTAGTGGTTCTCTTTATAATTTGATGGTAGCTGTGGGATAGCTGTCACTTGAAGAAAGTAGGTGGGTCACCATCACAATGATCTCACTAGATCAGGGGTAGGCAACCTTTCCCCTTTAAGGGCCGAGGGACTTCAACTCCCAGAATACCAGGAGCTATTGGCCAACATGGGACTATTGGCCAACATGGCTGAGGCTTCTGGGAGCTGAAGTCCCTCGGCCCTTAAAGGGGAAAGGTTGCCTACCCCTGCACTAGATGATGAAGAAGAAATATTACATGTGGTTCAATGTGATACAGGTGATGCTTTGCATTACTCTTAATGCTGCTGTGCTGAGATTTTTAAAGTAATTACACATAACTAGTTACTTTTAAAAACAAGGAGGTAAGAGAATTGCTTTTAAAAATGGAATCATAATGGACAAAAACTACCTTTGTGTCCCAACACCATAAATTTAACAAATAACTTTAAAGGGGTAACATCCAAGTGGAATCTGTTTATAAAGCTTTAAAATTTTTGGCTGGAATCCTGTTGGAATATGTAAGCACTGTAGTTATGGTCATGTGCAGTGAATTTCATTCCGATCTACTTTTGCATTCTTTTGCATTCTCCTAAAGATCTCAGTATTACCAATTTAAGAACAGTATAACACTACAGATTCTGTCCTTTCTCGTTTATTTTGATATTAATAGTGTCAAAATTTTAGCCCCAGGTTTCCAGAAGACCTGAATTGCCAATAAGTGTTATTTCTGCCACCCCGTTATTATTTCTATAACTGCATGAACCTTGCCAAACCGCCATGGCTTCATCATTATAAGAGAACCAGTCACACTAACTAGGTGTTCTCTACTTCTTAGAAGAAGAAAAAAAAGGAAATAAGCAATAATGTATGAAAAGTATTAAATTAATTACTATCCAGCATACCAGCATATCTGGTATTTCAAAAGATAGATTAAAATGAATTCTACTTTCCATATTTCAGTTGGAAATTCTGACCATGAATTACTTCCATGATGATAACATAGCTCTTGTGCCTTCTTTTAAATGACCTTCTTTTAAATGTGGGATATTTCCCTGTGTGCCTTTGAAAACACACTTTTGCCATACTGAAAAATGAGAGTAAACCAAAAAACAAAGAATTATTTGCAGAAGTGAGTGTTTTCATGAATAGCTGTGAGAATGTGACTAGAACAAGTTCATGAATTTCTCCTTTACAAAAAGAATTACATGCACTCCATACTACAATTATGACTGCTTTTATTGTCAAGTAAACTTTTACAGGAGTTTTTTGTACTTTGTCCTCTGAAGTGGTCTGGTAAGAATGGGATGGAGTGAAATATTACTCTCAAATCATTTATTTTATAATTTATTTGCTACATTTAGCTATTACTTTTTACCCCCAGAAAACATTTTAAAGCAAAATAAATGAAATCAATCTGATGATGCTTGTGATTGCCAGTATGATTACAACCCAAAATAGTTACACTGGCTATAAGGGGGGAAATCCAAAACAATGTTTTATAAGAACAGATGAACACAAATATGTGTTCAGTCTTTTGAGTTCTATAGTTCTAAGTGACACTGATGAAAAAAGATATCTACATGAGGACATCTGGAGATACCAAAACCCTGCATCATTTTACTTGCTGATTGTACTGATTGCTTTAATATAGTTTTTTGGAAGTGTGATAAGGAGAACATCTTTAAATACAGCCACCTTTATTTGTAGTGCTCCTACATAAAGATATCCAAGGGGGAATTGAAGCATCATTTCACATGCTCAGATGGAAGAGCTGAAGGCTATATATCTGACTGTAAGGAGGAAAGTGCACACGTGTTCATTTGAAATTATGAAGAAATGGGACCCAATGGAGCCAATAGCCTGGGATATTCCTTTATATTTATGATAGTTCTATATTTTTGTTTGGTTTTAAGATTTTTATTATATGACAATCTTAATTAATGCATGGAGCAGGCATAATAGCTACTGATAAATTATTTTAAATGTGCAATTTGTGTAACTTTTGGCTCTGTGGTGATAGCTAGCATAGTAAACACAATTCTGTGCCTTAACTATGACTGGCAAAGGTCACACCAAGAAAGTGCTGTAGGAGAATGTTCTGACAACATGTAAACATCTGAATCAGCAGATAGCTGAGACAATTCCATCTTTGAAATGTTGAATTGGGTTTTTGTGACTGAGTGCAGGTGTGTGTGTGTGTGTGTGTGTGTGTGTGTAATAGATTATGGACTGGAAGCACAGAAAAAGAGGGGGGGAAGAGGAAGTGAGATCTGACAAGAGTAGGAAGATGATCACAGTAAAATAACAAAAGATGTTAACCCCAGCCAAAAAGTATATAAAGCACTGATAATGGATTACTGATTAAAATCCCCGATACATATCCTCCCACCCTAAGGCCTTGCCCTTCAATAACAGACAACACACAGATTAACATGTAAGCCACTTCACCAAGGGTCACAAAGTGTGTATATATATCCCACACACCTCCATGCCACCATTCTCTGAAGATGCCAGCCACAGATGCAGGTGAAATGTCAGGAATAAATTCTTGAGAACATGTCCACATAGCCCAAAAACCCACAAAAAACTATGGATGCTGGCCATGAAAGTCTTCAATTTCACATATAAAGCAACTGTCCCAAACACTCTTTGGAGAAAAATACACCAAACCTCATGTATGAACCTGAAGTCTACAATCATTACTCCATTAACAAGGAAATTAAAACCCTGGCTGAAAGTGACCAAGATATGGACTTCAAAGAGATTGTGGGGAATAAAACAAGTACTTTGGAAAGTTTGAGAAAACCATTCCATTGGAGCCAAGTCTACTGGACAATGCTCACTCCTCTTCTCTTCTCTTCTCTTCTCTTCTCTTCTCTTCTCTTCTCTTCTCTTCTCTTCTCTATGCACACTTTCCCTTGGGCCATCCCAATCTATATGAGGCTAGAGCCTTTGCAGACTGCCAGAAATAGTGCAAATTGAGTCCACTTTAACTGTCCTGACTCAGTGCTAGTGAATCATGGGAACTGTAGTTTCTTGTGGCACCAGAGCTCTCTGACAGAGAAGGCTCAATGTCTCAGAAAAAAAATACAATTTCCATGATTCCCTAGCACTGAGCCAGGGCAGTTAAAGTGGACTCAATTTGCACTATTTCTAGCAGTCTGCAAAGGCCCTGTGTCTCTGGTTGGATTTAAGAGTCCAGCTACTCTACACTCTGTCATCCTCAAGTAAATCTGTTTTTATTTATCTCTCTTTCTCCCCTGTCTTCCCCTTCCCCATAATTTCTTTCCTTCTTTCATCTCAGACTCTCCACTAAACCAATTCCACTTTACTCTTTTAGGCAAATGAAGTGCCCTTTTCTTCACCTCCCTTAGTATGCCCTCAGACCCACCCTATCTTCTTTTCACATTCTTTTTTAAAAGATATTGGCTGTACCTCTTTGACAGCCACTAGAAGACATGGATGTGTTCAGAGTACTGCATACCCCTTTATAGTATATTGCAGCATTACTATAAAAATGTATTTAATTCACTTGGTGGTCAAATATTAATTGGACAGGAGCAAAAAATGTTCTGGCATGGGATTGAGAGAGAAAAACAGCTTTGGAAAAAATATACACCTTAGTCTGGAACTTTCTCTCTTGCACACACACACACACACACACACACAAAGACAGACAGACTTTTTATTCTAGGTTAACAGGAGAAGCATAAACCAAACATAGAAGTGATTGAGCATTCTGCTCTTCCATTTGTTGGAACTCACCCTTCCATAGAGTGGGCCTGAGAATTAGAACTGCAGCACAGCAATAATACTAATCTTGTTGTTCTACATCACTTGTTTCATGCTACATGCTGTTTGACAGTAACAGTTTTACAACTGTATTTGTGAACATCACTTAATCAGGTTAGGGTTGTCTACTGCTGAGCAGCTGCCAGGTCTTGCTAGACTGATTTGGTAGCCTAAATGTCTGGAGTCTAAATCTACAATCC